AGGAATTACATGCCCTCACTTCATGAAGATGCATCCAAGAAAGGACTGGACAAGTCATTCAGCTGAAGAACGACTTAATTGCAACAACTGCCACATCCTGAAAAAATTCTGTTTTTAAAATTGGTTATTGCAGCAACATAGTCACTTACACGTAAGTGAAACAAGGAGTTTAAAACTATTTAGCAAGATTATTTTTTCTATTAAAAACAGCTCTGAGGTAGATTTGTACTCTCATACATAAAATCATAAACAAATACATTCCAATGTAAACAGCTAATAGTAGGTACATTCAGAATTGTTCTGTTTTGCAACTGTGAAAGCTAAACTACCTAAATATTGTAAGTTTAGTTATGGAGGATGACCCAATGATGTGCTTTAAGAGAACTGTGGATGACCAGGGAAACAAACATGTTTTGCCACAGACTTTGGCAGAGGGAGGCTCAGGGAAAACTAAAGAGAGAAGGAAAGTAAGAGATAAGATAGGGTGGTGAAAGGCAAAAGTTGGTATCAGTGACATCTGCTGCTGACTGTGCCCCTTATTTGTAACTTTGCAAATACAATGGAGATGCAAAAACAGGCTGGAAAATTCCTCTGAGGAGAAAAATCTATACCCCTATATACCCCTCTCCCATATCTTCTTTAGCAATCTTGCCTTTGGTTTCAGTGTAACATGAACAGACCTATCTCCTTACAAAAGCTCCCTCTTCCCACCACCCTTGTTTGTTATTTTATGTGTTTCTGCATCATTTGCAGAGTTTGCTTTGATCTACATTCCTCCTGGATGTGCAGTTTCCTTTTCGGCTACCAAAAGGAAAACTGTTTGGTTTTGAAAATTTTGAAGCTTATTTTGAAGCTTTGCTGGCTCAAAATACCCATTTTTAATCCAAATGAACATAACTTGGTGCTTTCAGCTCTTCAGCCCCGGTTGCCTTCCTTTCAGGAAAAATCTCTTTGAACAATAAGTGACCACTTCATACTCTAATAAAATGTCTAAACTGTAATCCCAGCTGGCATAAATGAGAGCATTCTGTTTGCTACAGCTGGGTTTGACTATTGACACTCATACATAATTTGATCCTTGAATTGCTTTCATTTTAGCATCATCCTGAACTGTTCAATGTTTTGTGTCACATCTGATACCCACTAACATATACCATGCTGCTCTAAAGCATTATCAGAGCAGGTAATTAGGAATTCTCTCAACATTTCTTTATTACAGACTCAATCTGTCTTCCACCAATGGCAGAATTCCTGCAGCCTCCAAGGGTTGATTGAACTTGGGTGCAATTGCAAAATGGCTGTAAATCCTTCTTCATGGAATATGTGATGCTGAATCTAAAGCCTGTGCCATTTTAATCCTTCCTCCTTCTCTAGCAAGCATCACAATGCGACCGCACTAGGAATAGTCCATAGACAAAACACAGTTCACAAATAACAGGTAAACAATCTTCAAATGAGAAGAGAAGCCAGGACACATCCTTGGATTGACTCTTTGACTGGGAAACAGGATATATTCTTCAAGGACCTTGCAGGGATGGTCCCAGAGGACAATTAGAGATTAGATCTTCTCTTCTTAGGGGTTAGGCCACAGGAGTTAACTTGGGAAACAATTCACATAAACAAAGTGCTAGCGAGAGGAAGGGCACTGTCAGATTCTGCTTCTGTGTCTTTACTAGGCATGGGCCTTCATGTCAAGCTCCACTTTCAGAACTTGGTTTCCAATGTTAACACAGCATTAATTGACATCACCAGTACTAGAAAGGAGCAACACCCTGGGATTCTGGAGATTAATTAACTATTTTGGGAAGATTCTTAATGAGATAGCCTAGAATTAGAGTATCCTGATCCACTGACTAAAAGTAAGTAAGTAAAATGTGCTTAGTATCACTCAGTGGATACTGAGCTCCTTCCAGGAGAGCAAGTGCAGAACCTAGGAGATTGAGGCTCTTCTCATCTGCAGCCTGGTCTATTATAGGCAGTCAAAGGCTGAGCTGCTCTCTATGAATAATTTTTGTTTTAAGAAAAAAATGGCGAAGGAAATTCATATTCAAGTGCCTGTGTGCACATAAGGAGTGGGGGAAAGTGTTCCTACTCTGCAAGAAGAAAAAGATTCCTCATAAAAACACAGCCATGCCCATCTTACCAAAGTAAATACTAAGAAAACTGTTACCAGGAGTAAGTAATATCTGAGAATGACTTCCCTTTTTCACACAGATTTTCTCCTTATATTTTATATATAAAAATATAAGGAGAAAAAATAATATGCATGGAGCAATGTGTATGTCCACAATTATACAAATTATGCATATGAATTATGAATATGAATTAAATGAATTACGAAGTCTAAATACAAAGTCTATAAAAATTATTAAGAAGCTTTGCTGTAAGAGGAGACACATATATGGACTTGTAAACTACTCTGTGTTCCATCTAAAATTGAGCAAATGGAAGCTGTTTCCTGCTAGGTGTATGTGGATGAGGCTATTGCTGATTCTAATGTGGTTTTCTGTACACACTCTCTTGAAACACATTTCTCTGTATCTCTAAGATATAAGACTTTAATAATAAAGATACATTAAACAGTGTTGGTGTTCCATGTAGTTCTTTCTCCAAAGCCAAATTCCACATCTAGGAGAGTGAGCAGAGTAAAATATCACAGAAGAAAATTATTACTTGCACCCAAAAAGCAATGCCAGTGGACAATCCAGGAAAACACATGGTTTCTTTTCTTTTTTAATTAAAAGTGTCTAGAAGCACACCTAAACGGTAAATCTCAGATAAATAAGCTAAAGGCAGGAAACCCCCTGTATCCCAGCTGGCAATGCACTACAAAAGCACACATCAGGGCTACCCCAAAGCTGAGCCCCCAGAGCAGAGCCTGCCTCAGCTGCGCTGCCTGCCATCTTCTGCATTGTCAGGACCACAGCTTGCATCATTAAGACTTGAAACTGATCCACTTCAGTGATTAGGCTGATCCAAGGACACGGACAGAAGAGCAGGATTTAATGGGCAGGCAGGCAGGAAAAGTCTTTTAACACTTTAGAAAACATTGACTTGGTGGAAGGAATTGGCTAGCTCAAGGGATTAGTAATGAGATACTGAGCCCCTTAGCTCTAGGTCACCACACTGAATCTGGTCCAGGTCAGCAGAAATCAAAAGCTGTTGCTGTTCAGTGGCCTTCGGGAATCAGTTGGTGGTCCCACCCCAGCCACCTCTGGCAAAATATCTGCACCAACACTAATGATAACAGTTGGCAGCACTTACAGGAAAGGTTGAGGGCTGGCACAGTACAGGAAAAGTCTGAGCAGAGAAAGATGTCCCTGCAAGCACACTAGGCTGTGACTCAAGAAAAATGAGAAAGCAAGCTCCCTCATCTTCTACAGATTTCCAGTGTGACTTGGGGCATGAAATTGAGGATCCTGTTCAAGAAAATTCTATTTCCTCACTGCAATGGTCTTCACAAGGCATTTAAGGCCTAAACATCTCTGAAGCTCAGACCCCCACCTTTAAAATGAGAATAATTAGCTTAAAGTGCTTCTTCTGCAGGGAGATCCTGAGTAAAGGGGAGATATAGAAGCTAAACAAGAAACCAAGACAGGGGAGCAAGTTCTTTCCAAGTAAAATCAGCTCCCCTACCTCCAAAGCAAGACATTTGCCGCATATGCACCCATTCACAAAGCTCTGTCCTTCAGGTGCTTTATAAAAAGGAAATAACCCACATTTCCCTTACAGCAAAGAGTACCCCCAAGAAAACCCCAAATTTCCACTGCTGCCCAGCAGATCCACATCAAAGAATCCAGCTGCTCCCAGCTTTTATCTCACCTAGGATGAAATTCTAATGTGTTGTGCAGGAGGTCAAATAGATTATCATAACAGCCCCTCTGGCCTTAAAAACTATGAAATTGGAGAATGAATCACAAGACATCAGTCACCATTGAAGGCAGGATGGTAGGTGGCAAAGCTCAGTGAGAGGGTGTGATATGGCAGAGTAAATCCAATGTTCTTAGGCCCTGTGAAGCTGGGAAACTGACATTTTGCCTTCTTTGATGGCCCTCTGGGACACGCGAGAGATGCAGGTTATTATAACAATAAGCCCAGTCTGCTGTCAATGCGGCCTAAGAACTCTTACGGGAGTGAGTGCGTGAAGGATTGAGAAACACTAGTTATTTTCAAACTGGATTAAGTCTTTCAAAAGCTAATAGGTTTCCAATGAGCTGTGGTGGTGCTGCTGCAGCTGCTCTAATTTGAGAATAAAAGAATGCAGGCTTTGTGCCTAGGGACCTGTTATTGATCTGAGCAAGAAGGATGGGAAGGAAGGGGGTAGAGGAGGGTTATCCTCCTTTCAGCTGGAGCAGGGGCGTTCCTTTCAAAGTCACATTATCTGCTAGTAACAACAAAACCTAACCCCATGACATGCTGCTCTATACAGGATTGCACTTGTTGAGAACTGAAAGCATCAGAGAAAAAAAACCTCCACTGGCAACCTCGGGCAGCAAACTGCATTGAGGGCCCACGAGACTCAACAGATGGGTCTCGAGAGTCCCTCATTAGGAAATGTGCCTGTCCCTTTGCATCTGCTGCCCCACTCCATGCCACGCACTCATTAGCATTGCAGGCTCACAGATTCCTTAGCACGTGCTTCCAATAAATATTGGAGAGAAAGGAGGGGACGGAAGCCACTGCTCGGAGCAGCGAGATGAGGGGTCACCCACTAGGCTGGGAAATCCTCACACACACACACGCTGCCCTGCAGCCCCACAGCGGGGAGGACAATAAAAGGCAGCCAACCACAAATGTGCAGTTAAAGGGACAGGTGTGCAATTGCTCCTATTCAAGTTGTGGCAGATCCTCATTTGTTCCTCTCTGCCACAGTAAATAAAAATCATCATTATATATAGGAAAAAACCCCGCAATTCAGGGCAACACACAGATTGTGGACCTACAAGAGTCTGTGGCCCCTTTCAGACAGAAAGCTGGAGCACACTGGGTAATGCCATTACCTTCAAAGAAGTTAATTGGTTTTAAGGGTCCAATTCTACAGCCAGGCTCTTTTTCTTTCAGGTCTTCACCAAGCTGTCCTGCTGCCACAGTGCCGCAAATAAGGGATGTCCTTCATCCCACCTGGAGTGGTCCAGCCTCAGGGCTGAGATCAGGAGCAATTGAAGAGAAAATCATCTCCCCCGTGCTTGAAAACCTGGTGAGACAAAACAGCTGTCAGGGAGGCAGGAATGGAAAACCTTCCAGGTACTGTGGAAAAAGCAAAGACAAACCTTTAACCAGAGAGGCAGGGTGACCGGGAGCTGTACTTGCTCAGACTCTCAAGAATAAGTCCCCATATTTGCCACCTCTCCCTGATGCCCCCAGACTGTTCTTATTCCAGTCCTTCTCATTTGCTCTATTTTCCACTATCCTGCTGAAAGCTGCAAGCATTTTGACCACAGCTAACTCCAGAGTGGGACTAGAAGAGTCTCAAGTGTTGAACGGTGTTGATAAAAATCTTGTCCAAAATGCAGAATTTTCAACACCAAAACTCACAAATCAGTGCAAACTCTGATTCTTCCAAATGCTGCTGGCTCTAACAGCCAGTCCTGTCAGATCTTCAGCCGCATGATCAGTGACAGAAAAGTCCTCAATGCACATCTGCAGGTAGTAGCAATGTTGTGACATGCAGAATGGTCAAAAGGCTTTTTTTTCATTCATGTGCAAAGGATGAACACAGAGAAAGACTTTTTTTCTCCCCTTTAGGGCCTTGTCTTTATCTGTACTACCACAGACACCAGCCACCTGCTGTGGCCTGTGCTTTATCTAAAAACATTTAGCTGATGCAAAAGGGCTCCTTCCAGCAGGGAGTCAGCAGTGCCAAGGGACGAGGTAAAAACAGACCGCTGTGCCCATCCCTAGCTCCCTGAAGAAAGGGCTTCCCCTGTAGATCAGCAGCATCACTCCCATGCAATGAACTTTGTGGCCCAACCCACTGGCCACTCCAGCAGGTTACTTAAACACACCCCTAACCTAAAGTTTTTTGTTTCTTGATTTAGGCACATCTCTGTTTTGGGCTGAAATTGGATTTTAGAAATCTTTGTCTTTCAAAGTTTCTTCAGGCCAAATGAAACAACTCCCTTTATACCCCCCATGCAGGAATAAGTAAAGTCAAGGCCCAAAATATTAGATCAGCCGGGGAATGATGGCAGGCAAAGGCAAGAAGTCATTTACTGTACACTCAAATTTAAATCTGCTAATCACAGCTCTCTTCTCTTTAGACGTTTCCTTGGCTAAATGACACTCCTGTGTACTTCAGTCTTGCACCTACAGGCTAATGTGTGATTGAGAACATATTGAACACATACTTTCACATGCAATTAACAATTAAAACAATCTGCATGAGAAGTTCAGCGTTTTGATGCTGTCATGACAAGAAAATGAATCTTGGTCTGAGCACTTCCTCAACAAAATTGGCTCAAAGAAGCACCTTTGCAGAAAGCTGTGAGGAAAACACTACTTGAAACTTGGAGCTCTTTAAAAGCACCCCATTGTTCACTGGAGATGGGGCTCAGCCCAGGTTTCAGCGCAGCCCCTTTGACAAGAATAGCCGAGGTTGCTGCTTATCGAATGAAAGTGTGATCTTGTCTGTGACAGGCGTGCCAGCACTGCTCAGTGTCACAGTCTTTGCACCTACTGGGAGCCACTCCACCTTGATAAGCTGTACCCCTACCCAGATCTAAAACCGTAGTCTCAGCTCTTCCCTGCTTTTAGAAAGTGGGGATTTGAGATCAAATCACTGCTGCACAGGAATCCCACCCCTGGGGAGGATAAGTGAAGGACAAAGCAGCTGGGTCCACAGGTTAATGTAGAGGTATCTGATCCTTGAAGGGTTAACAGAGAAACAACCAGAGAACAGGTTTTCTGTGCATATAAATAAAGGAAACTGAAGGAGAAACAGCACTAGTCTCTGGAATGGAGTAAGGTCTCAATTTTAAGCTGTGACAGAAAGCAATAAGGTTATGGATTCACTTAATTACAGTTGGATAAAACATGAAGGCTCTAAAACAGATGTATTTTTTGGTACTACAGCTTTAACTCTTTCAGGGACTTTACTGGTTCCCACTGCAGTAATTTCTGAGTACCCCAGATTTTTTTTTTTTAAATTGTTCTCTGAGTATCCTCTGAAATAGATTTAGTGCCTCACTTTCATTCTGGGGAATGAGGCATTTCTAACATACAGAAAAACTAAGGTGGGAATTTCACAGTGACAAAATGCACATGCACAACAAACACAGCACAGCTTTGAAATTTTGTCTTAAGCAACACACTCCAGGGAAAGGAGAAGGTAAGGGCTCGTGGCAGCAGACTGGATTTGGGGCTCTGGTTACTAGAGCATCTTCTTCTCCAAATCTTTTGTCACATTTGGAAAGCTTGTCTGAAGACACAGCTTTAAGAAATTGCCTGACTGGGAAGAACTGAAGCTTTCATGGAAGAGGGAATGCACTCTTCAGTGCTGGGTAAACTGTGCTTTCTCCTAACCTCTGCCACTTGCTCAACTTTCTCATCAGTGCTAGCTTCTCTCCTGCTCCATTTGTGAAATAGTCTAACACCGGGTGTGGCTTCCCCACAAAATGCTTCCTAATTAGTTTCTAAGCATTAAATGATTATGGAAGCGCAATTCCCATTCCACTCAGGTGATGAAAAGCTTTACAGGAGTTCAGTCTCACTTTGTAATTAGAGAAATTAGCTTTCTAAGTTTAGATCACTCAACTGTGCAAATGGGTTCATCTGCTGGAATGTGTTGCTCCGAAATGCGTGTCAGCCGAGCAGCACGGCGCGGTCCCTATCTCTGCTCCGCGACACTCGCCCAAGTGGGCAGGTCACTTCCAGAACAGCCAGAGGAAAATGAAGTGTTGTGGGTGTATTATAGGAAAGGCCTTATCTAAAAGCTCACTCATCCGTGATTGACTGTGGCGATACGTCCTTCTCCTTGCAACAGGGAAGCTTAACTCCTAGATAAAGGATTAGCCGAGTGGATGAAATTTCACTCTTCCACTCAGTTAGTCCAGGCTTACATCTAAAACTGCAGCAAATTTATTTTACTGGCTAATTTCAAGGAGCAAAACCACTTTTATAAAAATCTGGAGGAACAAAGGGCTCCTTTAGCCTCTTCATTTGCTGTGAAAAGAGGTCATTGAGCTTTATGAATTCTTTATGACCACAGATTCCACATGTCAACAGATTATTTTCTAGTAGTCCTTTAACTGGTTTATTGAAGGCTGATGCAGTGTCAGTGCCCTATGATTATGCAACTGTCTTGGTCTGCATTACAGTAGTAAACAAAAGTTTAGTCACCGACTTGAAAAGGAGATGCATCAGGTCCCTGAACGAAGAACTTTTCCAGGGGCGCCATTCCAAGCTTACCTTCAGGTATCACAAATCTAAGGAAATCCTGTGGGATTGTTCACAGCCATGGCTCAGTGAGTCACTGAGCTTTAAAAGGAAATTACAACTTTCCTCACACAAAGAATTGACTTCACGACACCTGACCCTCGTAAGCCAGACACTCCCTCTAAAGGCTGTGATCCTGGTCCCACTGAAGTCCTGGGCAATCTCCCAGTGGCCTCAATGAGCAGCTCTATATTAGGGAGCTGATTCAGGCCCAAAGCCTGAATTGAAGCACTGCCTGCAACGCTGGGCTTTGGCACACTCGATGTCTGTAAGGGCTTCTAATGTGGATGTGATCTAATTATGTCGGAATAGGAAGATTAGCAGGAAGTAACTTTACGCAATGTAAAAAGCCCAGTGCCAGACGCTGAAAAGTTCTTCAGCGGCCACAGAGGAAGACACACCGGCTCCACACCTCGTGAGACGTGCAGGCAGAGCCTTGCAGCAGGGATTTGATGTGCACTGGTCTCAGGCTGCTCCAAACAACTGCAGTTCAGGGCCCCGTGCACATGCAGCAGTTTGCACGCTGCTGTGCCCGTAGCGAAGGGAGCATCTTGAAATGAAGCTCAGGCGGAGCTTCGCGAGGCAATCTGGTTTTCACTGCTGCTGTGCACTGGCTCAAGGGGGCCACTCGGTCTCTGGGCTCTTGACAGTCCAGAGAAAAAAAGCAAGAGACGGGACTCCAAGGGGGAAATTCCAGACTGAATAAGTTTAGGGGGCTTTCACTGCTGACTTCTACGAGCTCAACATTTCTTTCAGGGCTCCAAGGGAGAGGGTTTGCAATGCGCTTCTGCACATGATTCATGCTCTGCCTTGCTTTACCTATCACTAATACTCTCCATCTCAAGACACTGGGAGACTTAATTCATTAATGCTTGCAAAGCATTTTAAGTTGTTGGACAAGTAATTCTGTTTGAGGGCAGCTACACTGCTGAGTCACAAGCACTGTGGGAAAGAGAACTCTGGATTTCCTAAGCACTGGAGTCAAACAGGTGGAGTAACCTTTTACAGAAAGGCCAACTCCAGACCTGCCCTAAAGGTACGGAGCATACCAGCAGCAGCAGGGTATTTAAAGGCCCAGAGGAGCAGATGTGTGGCACTTGGGAATGAATAACATTTAACCAGGCTGTGGAAGCTAACTAACACCCACTGGGAAAAAAGAAGAGAGGCACTGGTAACACCAAACTGCAGCCATGTTGCAGATTAAACACCATGAAGGTTTACCAGCCTTTGAAAAGTTAATGAATCCAATGAGATACGACCAACGCTGGAGGAACCTGGGGGCTGAGCAAGGCTGGAAGGAGTATTCAGCAACTACACATCTCACAGGCGTGCCAAAATTGCCAGAGTGCAATCTAAGTCATGAACTCACAAATGGGAACAGGATCTGCAGGAGTCAGGTGGAAGTCTGAGCACAGTTCTACGGTGAGGGGCACAAACACCACCAGCTTTCCAGCCTGGGGCACCCTAGAATGGGACAGACCTCATCACAGCCAAGAACAGGCACTTTGCTTTTGCCATAGGAAATGAAAACAAAGGATATAAAATTAGGTCAGAAATCTTGTTTTCCTTTGTACCACTGACTCTGGTGTATAAAATAGACATTCACACATCTACTGTGTTAGATCAGGGTGGAATAGATCAGGACATAAGAATAGCTGTTCTGGGTCAGACCGAACGTCATGTAGGCCAAGTTCCTGTCGCCAGCGCCTCAGGAAGAAAGGGACAGCGATGCAGCGAGTTCCCAGCACAGTCACCCAACTTTTAGACTCGCAGCCCAGGGACTTCCCAGAGACAAAGTTAGGGGTGGGGTTTTTTGGGGTTTTCTTTTTTTTGCTCAATGCCCTTTGATGTGTGGCTCTTCCTCTGGGAACCAGTCTGAACTCTTTTTGCTACTGTGCAAACTTTTGGGCTTCTCAGTAACCTGTGGCAGGGAGTCCCTTAAGTAAATCACCTGGCTGTGTGGCTCTGGACCTTGCTCCTCAAAGGATGTGCGGCAGAGCAACCCCAGCACCCACCTGAAAACTGGGATGAGGCTCTGCAGCGCGGGCACAGGGTCCCTGATGGTCTCGGCACTCAGCCAGCACTGCGCTGCCGGCACTGATCAGCTGAGGGATCTTTCCTCCCACTTGGAGCGCGGGAGGCCCTCGGCGGCGCGGCCTCGTGTTGAGGCGGGCACGAGTCGCACGGTGGCGACTGCCGCCTCCGCTTCCCTCCGGGCAGCCGCCGGCCGGGGCCACCTGAGCGTCCCGGGCCGGCCGCGCCTCCCGTCCCCTCAGGGCGCAGCGGCCCGCTCCGGCAGCGCCCCCCGCCCGCCCCGCCTCAGCTACCGAAGGGCGGGAAGGGCAAGCGGCCGCCGCCGGCCAGTGGCAGAGGAAAGCTTTCACACCGCAAAAAGTGTCCCCCAGAATGCTTCGTTCTTCCTTCCACCAGCGCCGAGGAGGCGAGGAGGAACGGGCAGCGGCTCCCGTGCGGGCAGAACCCGCGCGTCCCCTCAGCGAGCGGGGGGGGGGGCGGGAAAAGCCCTCAGCCGGGAGCGCCGGCACCGCCTCAGCGCGGCTCCTCCTGCTCCAGGTCGCGCTGGAAGCACCTGCGGAGCGGCGCTTCCCGAGGGACGGACCCTCGGGGCGGCCGGGACGCGCCGCCTCCCTCAGGCGGGGGACCCGCGGATCCGCGGCTCCCTCCATCGCCGCCACCGCCTCCTCCCGACGGTACCTGCCATCCCCTGCCCGTGCCATTCCCCTCCTCTGCTCCCTCCTCCTGCTGTCCCCCTCATGCATATGGATGGGCGCATGCGCCTGCCGCCCTGGGCTAGATGAAGCGGAGCGGCGGCGGCGCTCCCAGACGGGCGGGCGGCTGCGGGGCGGTGCGTGTGCTGCATGTGCGTGCGTGTGTGTGTGAGTGAGTGAGTGTGCGTGTGTGTCGGGGGGGCGAGGGGCTCCGCCGCAAGAAATAAAAGGACTGGGATAATAATCGCCATAATAAAACAAAAAGAAAAAAAAAAAGGAGAGAGAAAAGAAAAGGGAAAGAAAAGAGGGGAGGCGAGAGAATAAGGCGGATAAAAGGAGGCCGGGCTGTTTTGCATTGAAGAGCGGGGCGCTATTGAAAGCGCTTGAAAAGCGGCGTTGTCCGGCGCGGGTGCGCCGCGGTATATTAGAGCGGGGCGGCGGCGGCAGCAGCAGCGGCAGCACCTCCTCCTCCACCAGCTCCTCCGCCTCCTCCTCCTTCTCCTCCTCCTCCCTCCTGGCCCTCCCCGTCCCGTCCCGTCCCGACCCGGAGCGAGCGGCGGCGGCGGCCCTGCAGGCGGGCGGGCGGGCAGCGCGGCGGCGGCATGCGTGCGCCCCGGCGGGCAGCCGCGGCGGCGTGCTCCATCCTCACCCTGCTCCTGGCGCTGCGGGCCCAGGTACGTACCGGGCACGGCCCCGCCGCTCTTCCGCGGGGCTTGCGGGACATGGCTCTGCGGGAGCCCCGACGGGCGCTTCTGCGCGGCTCCTCCGGCCGGAGCGCAGCTGCTGCCCTGACTTCTCTGGAGATGGCAAACGCGGGAGTGCTCCTTGCAGCGAGGCTTAATTCCTGGGAAAGAAAGGCGATTACTGCAAACCGCTTTTATTTTCCCTCAAAAATCACTTTTTCCCCCCTTTTATTTTTCTTTTTTTTAATACTTTTTTTTTTTTTTTAATCTACTCGATAGCAGCGCTGCTGGGGCGATTAATGAGCTGATGAGTCTCAGCCGGGCAGCTCCAGCCGTGCCCGGCTCAGCTGCACCGCGGAGCAGGCACAGGGGTGGCTGGGTGCCTTTCCAGGCAGCGCATTATGAGTACATCGTTTTGCTGGGTTTGCTCCTCGCGTCTTGCACTCTTGGTTTAGTTTAGTTTTATTTCCTAACCATTTGGAAGCCTTCCTCGCGCTGTTTTTTTCGGAGCTGGCACTTAAGGTTGTTTTTTGGCATTAATGGCGTTATTTAGTTGGGCTGATTTATGAGCCCTTCTCGTGGATGTCTGATAGGGAAAAGCTTGGGGTGGTTGGCTTTGTTTTATTTTCAACATTATGCATGTGCTTCTTGAAAGCACACTTAAAATTACTTTTTCCTGTCTTCAGAGTTGTTGTAGATTGTGTTTGGGGAAAAAAGTTAGGTAACTGTCTGTCTCTTTGTTTCTTTTCTTTTTTTTTTTTTTTTTTTTTTTTTTTTTTTTTTTTTTTTTGTTCGTTTGTTTTGTTTTTTTTCCTTCGGTTCTTTTTTGGGATTAACAGGTGACTTTAGCGTCGGGACAGTTCGAGTTGGAGATCTTATCCATGCAAAATGTGAATGGTGAACTGCAAAATGGAAATTGCTGCGATGGCACCCGAAACCCAGGAGATAAAAAATGCACCAGAGACGAGTGTGACACCTATTTTAAAGTTTGCCTGAAGGAGTATCAATCGCGGGTCACTGCTGGCGGTCCTTGCAGCTTCGGATCCAAATCCACTCCTGTCATCGGAGGAAATACCTTCAATTTAAAGTACAGCCGGAATAATGAAAAGAACCGGATCGTTATCCCCTTCAGCTTCGCCTGGCCGGTGAGTTGCTTGAGCTGCTCTGGCTCTGTTGGATGGTGCTTGAGATGTCCTTAGCGAGCTGAGCTCTAACTGCTTGTGCCAAGGGAAGAGGGATCAGGATTTGGGAGGGAGCAGGCATCTTGGCAAGAGCGCCGGGAATCCGCAGCACAAAATGAGTAAAATGTAGTGGTGTTTTTGTTTTTGTTCCCTGGGGCTCACAATGCACAGCCTGTTAAATTTGAAAGTCAGATGTGCAGTGAGGGGGATCTAAATGGGTCAGGGAAGCAAACCCAGTATCTCTGCACTTTACAGCATGAATAAGTCTCTTGAGACTTAGAAGGTCAGAAGTTCATTTTTTTTTCTTTTTTTTTCTTAAGCAGTGAAGTCTTGGGCTTAAGCCAGAAGAGCAGTGGGTTAGGGGCTGTAGAGGGATCCCGTGTGAAAAGTGTGTGTCATAGCTGGCCTCCTTCCCCGGAGCGTGTTTGGGAAGCCTTCCTGCTTCTCCCAAGGGGAAATCTGCTTGGTGTGGATGGGAGCTGCTGTTGCTGTTCTTGGTGAAGTAGTTGCCAGCTTCCCTGGGAAGCTGGCTGTGTTTGGAGGTGCTTGTGGACTCCAGAAGCTAAAGACTGAGAAAAGCCTGGCTTTAGCTTTTGGTGCCCTTCACCCACTCCTCCCCACAGCGCACCTTTTCCTGGCTACCTGCCTCTTGTGGTCCAGAGATTCTGGCTTCCCTCTAGTTGTGTGCAAAACTCGGTGGCTCAAGGAGGTGGGGCTTTTTGCCCGGCACTTTTCCAGCCTTGTCCACTCTAGTAAATACTGGTCAGCCCTGTGGAGCAAAGAGATGGTGATGGGTGACTCCTTCCTTCGTCGGTGATCCTGCTTTGTTGTTGGCTGGAAAAAATACTCAGACATCGCTGCTGCTTGTTTCTTCTGGGCTGCTCAGGAGGGTTGAGGCTTTGATGGTCAGCTCCCTGCAGAGGAAGTGAGGACCATCTTTCCAAAAGGACCATGGTGCAGGCCAGACCCACAGAGGCAGGCTCCAGGGCCCCAGGGTCTGTGGACATGGACGAGTGCGGTGCCTCGGGTGGCAGGAGGTCACGGGTTTTGTGCCTGGCAGTGCTCTGTGCACTGGGGGGCTCCTGGCTGGCTTTTGAGATGCCTCTCTGGGATGCTGTGGTACGAACGCTGAACGCTCACAAATTTCTGCTCCTAAAACTTGTATTTTGACATCACCTAGGAAACAAAACTGTTTCCCCCCTGCCACACACACCCCTTCTCCAAAGGCGCTGAGCAGACAATTTCCTACCAATTGCCTTGGGGTATGTTGATGCTCAGCAGTTTTGTAAATCCAGTCATCCTAACCTAGATGCCTAAGGTCATTTTTGGGAGGGGAGGAGGGCCCTGAATGTGCATGCAGGGGAGGGGTGACTCTCATTTCCGATCCTCTGCCACTATTGCTGCTGGCGAGGTGGAAGCATGCCTAGACCCTCCAAAGCTTGGCCCTTCATGGTCAGATAAGGACTGGTTGCTGGGAGGGCCTGGACGACTTCTAGGGGGAGGACAGCCCGCCCCAGAAGCATTCCTTCTCCAGCTGTGGTGTAGACACCCACTCTGTGGTCCTGCCGCCAAGCGCTGCAGGCAGCCGTGTGCTCTCCGAGCGTGCTGTGCTGTGCTGCCTCCTACCTGCCTGCGCTGTCAGCCCGCACTCGTGGAGTACAAGCGCTGCAGAGGCACAAGGCAGAAATTAAGTCTCCGTTTTTAAGGAGATAGTATTACAAAGTACAATAGCAGAGTTAACAAAAGTATTCTCTGTTGGAAGTACAAGTCTGTCCTTTATTTCTTTCTCTTTTCTTTCTCTTTTTTTTTCCCCCTAACATGAAATGAGATAAAACTGTTATCAAATATGCCATCAAAGGGATAAAGGGCTTTGTAAAAATCTGAGGTATTTGAAGCTCTGCCAATGGCTGTAGTGCTTGTGTTGCAGATTTTGACTTTTGTCAGAGAAGTCAGGTACATCAAGGATTTTTTTTAAACTAGCTCAGAGTAAACTGACTGTCTTGAATCTATCGGTATGCGTATAAAAATGGTGTGAAAACTAAACATGTTCCTTCTAGCAGCCTGTCTCTCCATAGGGTTGGGAAGGGAAATCTGTGTGTAGAGGGTGGGTTTGGGGGGTGGGGACCCTGGGAGAAGTCTCTTAAGCTTGCTTGCATCTTAGTAAAAGAAATGCTTCTATTGTCCTGCTGAATCTCATTCAGCACTGGAATCCTGGAGCAGCAGCAGCAGCAAAACTCCAGTACAACCTTTGAAATAGGTAAAATTCAAAAACTTGAGACGCTTGGTTCATAAGCCTGGAATTTTGGAACAAGCTCTTGCATTTTCCCAGGCAGAAATGCACTTTTTGAGATGCTGATGACAGTCCGTGTGCAATTATCAAGCCTGCTTCCCAGCTTTAGCTTCCACAGGACACAGCTTTTCTGCTAGCCATTGTGACTTCCAAATGGCATTTGAACAAAAGAATATCTAATGTGGCAAAGCTCTTATTTGTACTAAAATTGTGTACACAAATCATTTCAGGCATTTTCAAAGCTCTACGGATAAAGTAGTAAACTTAATTTAGTCAGCTCTAATCTGATGCTGAAATTTCAGAACTTAAAAAACTCTTTAGGTGGCTGAATACTCTTGACTTCAGTAAGAGCTTGAGATTAGCATTGCATTTACTCATGTGGCTGATCATGAGAGGTATCTTTGAATACATTCAGCTGAAAATTATAGTAGAGGTAATAAGAGCTAGACCAAAGTGTTAATCATATTGCACTTGAAAATTCATGCCCTTCTCTGGATTGTGTTCTACTCTGAGGGAGGCTTTTCTTGGATGTTCCAGCTTGAGTCAGTAGCAACATTCAGAAGTCTTGTTGCCTTGACTACTTAAAAAAATTAAAAAGAAAAAGCCTCTTCCCATGTCAAGCTGTCCCCTTATGCCATTTGTGAAAAATAGTTGCATTGCATTAGAGGCCTTTATTCATCATGCAGGAGAGGAAGGGGAGAGAATGGGGTGCTTTAAAAGTATTGTTAGAGGGAGCTTGCAGTTGTAATGTAGATTCGAAGTGTCAGGGTCTTATTAATAACTTATGGGGTTTGCTCTTGTCAGTTTTGATACGTTCCCCTGTGAGTAATGGGTGTGGAGACGGTGGGCCATAAATTAATTGAAGTGATGGGAGGTTTGAGTAAGTTGCTAGGAAACAGGGCAGCAGCCCAGCATAAAGGAACGGGAGTGGATCAGAAAGCTGCCCCTGCAGTAGCTGGTAATTCTTCAGTGCATTGAAACAAGAGCGATGATGATTAAAAAAAGTAAAATGCACCAAGGCTTGCTTCTTACATTCATTTTGAGACTTTCTTGACAGGCAAGCTTGGCTTTATGAAGCCATATAAAAAAGTATGGAACAAAAGCATTTCCATGTTCCACTTGTCAAGGAGTTCTGTCTGAACAAGTTTGCTTCCAAGGCAGACACATGCTCTTCTCTCACATGAATCAAACCTCTGGCCTTTCTTAAAGAACCCCAAGTGTGGTGTGTGCTGCACCTTGAAGGCAGCTGAGCATCAATTAACTAAGCAAAACTTAACACTACACTTTGCTTTTAAGTAAAGAAAGATCTTTTGGGGGTTTGGCGAGACTGAGTAAGAAGGTCAAACTTGGCAATTCCTTTGGTATGCATAGCTCTAATTTCAAACAGCTTGTTTATCCCAAAATTATGCTCCTTGTAATTATTTAATATTGGGGCCAATTGCACCAACACACCAGGAAACTACTGAGGTGGAAAAAAGCCCTCCAGCATCTCAGTGAGTTCAGCATAAAATACAATTTAAAAGAGTTTTGAACATCTTTAAAATAAAAATAGTCAACCTAAAAAAAATCAAATACCCAGCCTAGCCCCTTTTTCATGACAAATCTTAGTGGTCCTGATTCCTGACAATGTAAAATACGTTTTCTGGGTAGGCATTGTTTTCTGTGGCTACAGAGACACAGTAAAAAAGCC